GAGGAGGGCGCGGGGCGGGCGGAGCTGAGTCCCGGCGCGCCCGGCCCTCGCGCGCCCGGTTTGAACTCAGGGAGAGAGCTTGGGCTTGACCCAGAGGCAGGAAGGGAGGAGGGAACGAGAGAGAGAAGTTTCCAGGGGGGTTTCCTGCCTTCTGAGAAGCAGTCACCCTGGAGAGGAGAGTGTCGCCTAGAGGGCTGTCCCGGGAGTAAATGAGTCACCGGGGCTGCAGCCGCCTGGCTGGGAGTGGGGATGCTGGTGGAAATGTGGAGAGGCCTGTGCTGCCAGCGGTGGTGGTGATTACAAATACAGACCAATGATGACGATGGAAATAGCCACACAAAATCATTTCGCTGGTATTTATTAAGGGCTTACCAAGGACCAGGGTCTTAGCTAAGAGGTTTACCCACATTTTTCCATTAGATCCTCACAACGTTCCTTTGAAGAAGATACTATAAGTGCCCCAGTGTTGGGAGGAGAGGAAATGAGGCTTAAGAGAAGCTAAGTAACCGCCCCAGGTCACCCAGCTAAGAGGGGCAGGAGGTCCCTCTCCAAGAGGAATGCAGATCTCAGAGATCTCTGCCAGAGGCCAACTCCATGGCCTGTTCATCCTGGTCACTTCCTCTGCCTCTCACCCTCTGCAGGCCTGTGGCCTGGGGACTGAGGGAACCAAACTCGGTTATTGATACTTGGTCCCGAGGTTCTGCTGTCTTTTTGACCCGGCAGGGAGGAGGGTGTTCAGGCCCTTTTCCTGGCCGCGTGGAAGGCTTGCTGCCCTAGGACTGAAGGCTGAACTGACCGCAGAACCTTGAATTTCCGTCTTGGAGTAGTAGGTGTTCTGGGCTCCCTAGGACTGAAGGCTGAACTGACTTGAATTTCTGTCTTGGAGTAGTAGGTGTTCTGGGCTCCAAGTGAGAAATAGAACTGTTTGACTCCCCAGGATTATAATTACTGTCCCAGCTGCCTAAGGGTGTGAGTTGGGTCAATTTGAAATTTCCAATTGAGCTGTGTAATAACAAAGTAATGCAAAGACCTTCTTAATGGGCATGAGCCTTCCGTAAAAGACGTAAGTGTAGCTGTTTAAATATCATCTTTCATTTTCTCTTGCCATCCACACGGCAGCTGCAGAATGTGGTAATTGCAAGTCCCAGGAGGTACCTCTTTTCGTAACCACTGCATTGTTTAGGGACTGCTAAATAAAGATCAATTTGAACTATTCTTCTTTAGACCTGAACTAAATACCCCATAGTTCACCCTGTACCTGTAGTTCTTAATGAGGTTGGAATACAACAGGAGAAAAAGGTTTTCATACAGCATTAAATACAGTAAAAATCATGCTCCTCTTGCATCTAGGAGAAAGATGCAAGATGCCATATTCTCTGGCACAATAGGGTTCATTTATGGCAATATAATAGGAGCCAAACTTTTAAGAGTAAGGTCTGATCTATATTCACTTTCATCACAAAAGACAATAATTATCCAAAATATACAAAAAACTCTTAAAACTCAACAAGTAGAAAACAACCTGATTAAAAAATGAGCCAAAGATCTTACCAGACACCTCACTAAAGAAGATATACAGATTGCAAATAAGTGTATAAAACATGCTCCACATCAAATGTCCTCAGGGAAATGCAAATTAAGGCAACAATGAGATACCACTACACACCTATTAGACCTGGTGAAAATCCAGAATACTGACAACACCAAATGCTGGCGAGGCTGTGGAGCAACAGGGATTCTCATCATTGCTGGTAGGAATGCAAAATGGTGCAGCCACTTTAGAAGACAGTTTGGCAGTGTCTTACCAAACTAAACCTACTCTTACCATATGATCCAGCTATGATACACTACTTGGTATCGTCAACTTGAAAAGCAAATTCATCAGTTATTTTACCCTCAAAATGAGTTTATTTGGGAATAGCCAAAAGAATTGCAACTCAGGATGTGCATGGTATGGCAAACCATAGGCAAATCACGAGAAGAAAGGGAGTTGCTTTTATAGAAAAAATGGGGGGAGTGGGAAGGGGCTGTTCTAAATGAAAGTCCATTCCGGGAAAGCAACAGTTTGGGGCCACAGTGGCTTCTCACGGGCTGAGCTGTGGTGTTTCTCATTGGCTGGGCTGTTGCTGGGTGGGGTGAGAAATCTTCCTTCAGTAGTAAAGTAGTTGAACTTCCTGTCAGAGATGCAAGGATAGATCTCTTCCTGTTCTGAGTAATTGATGATGTGTGATAGGGTGTGAGAGCTCCCCCTGCAGGCCTTCCCAACTCCAATTTAGTTAAGGTTTCTTTGATTAATTTTCTTATGCCCCCCACCTTTTTTTTTTTTTTTGGTGAGGAAGATTGGCCCTGAGCTAACATCTGTTGCCAATCTTCCTCTTTTTGCTTCAGGAAGATTGTCCCTGAGCTAACATCGGTGCCCATCTTCCTCTACTTTATATGGGATGCCATCACAGCATGGCTTGATAAGGAGTGCATCAGTCCTCACCCAGGATCTAAACCCATGAACCCTGGGCCACTGATGTGGAGCATGCGAACTTAACCACTACACCACCAGGCCAGCCCCTACATTTTTCCCTTTTGATCAAGATCTTTCTCTGAAAGCATCGCTGATCAACAGTCTGATTTTCTGTGCACGGTGTTTCTTCCCTCAATGCCAGGAAGGACCTTTCCTGGTGGCTGTTGTCTCATGTTGGAGGGAAAGTGCATAGCAGTTGGAAACCATTTAGGCCACACTTGAGTAATGAGGAAGGTTAGGAGGGAGAACTCTGAGGCACTTCCCATGTAAAGTCTATATTTCTCTAAGGTTGTAGACATTGGAGATCATCTCAAAGTGCTGAGCCAGCATCACCTTATTGGGCATGTCCTTTCTATAGAGGTTTGACAGGCAATAGGTACAAAATTCTACAATAAGCATACAGAGTAAGACTAAGAGCAATACTATAAACCAGTTTGCAGGATGGTTCTAAACCAGGAGAGCAGACCTGAAGGTACCAGCTGAACAAATCGAAAGACAGTGGATTGTTAGGTGTAATTTGTTGTAGCCAATGTGCTTGCTCTCTCATCTTATGTAATTGGGTTTCTATTTCCTCAGAGGCATTTATGCATGTGCAATAGGAGGTCTTCACCACTGCATAGACACCTTCTTGCTTGGTGAGTAGATAACCTATGGCTACATGATTATCCAAAACTACCTTGACCAATGAGTTAAGCGACCATTGCTGAGCTGAAATTGCTTTGGCTGTGGAGTTGGCCAACTCTTCCAGAGTCAGGGAGAGATTTCTGATCATTTGTTCATTGGCACACACTCTGATTCGTGGGAAGAAAGTTCTTCCCACAGAGGCAAACCCAGAGTCATGTATACCTCCTGGAAGTTCTCGTTTAGAGCAACTATGGAGATGCAATGGAAGAAACCAATGAGAGGTCTCTGGTTATGCAGAGAGAACAGGATAGTGAATATGGCAAGGGCACACTGTCCTTGGATTCTCCAGCGGTCAAGGCCGTGAGTTGCCCAACCATAAATGTCATTATTGAAACCTCCACAGATGACGACATAACCTGGGGTGTACATAAGGCTCCTGCATAAGGGATATCATCTCTAGACTTGTTCATCTGCATGGGGCTCTAGCATTAAATAACCAAGGCTCAGACACTATGTTGTTACATACCCAGAGGTTCCCTAAATACATGTTAAGAAATATACAAATGATTCAACTTACATTGATGGTCCCAGAAAGTTCTTCATACAAATATTCAAAAGATCTTGTTTTCCCCTCCCAAGGCTGGGTTAAATTAAAGCAAGGAATGAGTCAGGTGGGCTTAGCACCCTGGCTCCATAAAATGGGCCAGCAGAGCAATTTAGACAAACAACAGCATCCAGAATCCTAGTGAAATTACTTATAGGATGAACTAAGGGCTCATTACTGTCTTGAACAGACAGAAGTTTCTGATGGCCAATCCAGCAATCAGAGAAGTTTCCATCTTATTTAGCAAGAGATTGGGAAATGCGGACAAGGGCGTTGTCCTTTCAGGAAAGACAGGGAGAAAATAACCTAAAAAACAACAGTGGGAAGAGGGTATACAGGCCTCGTCCAGTCATCTTGGGAAAGCTGTCTGCCTCAGACATTGGTTCCTTCAAATCCTGGTGAGTTTTATCTTCAGATCCCCTGACAGAATGCAGGTCCATGGGGTTTGGTGCCTTCTTTGGGTGTGACACGTGGATCCAAGAGTCCACTCCCTGGAGTTGGGTGGCACAAGGGTTAGTTAGCAGTACCTGATAGGGGCCCTTCTAGAGAGGCTGGAGAGTGTCCATTTGGAGGTGTCTTTTCCAGTAAATAAAATCTCTAGGTTGTAAAGTGTGGTGTTTGAGGTCTTCGTCTCCTGAGAGCTCATTGTGAAAAAGTTGCTCTACCAAAGTGTGGTTATTTTTAACAGAAGCAATTAGGCCTTTAAGATATTGAAGTATGCCTCCCTTTACCAAATGAGGGTCAAGAGAAGCAGGTGCCAAGTACATTGGGTGACCTGTGATTATTTCAAAGGGTGAAAGTTTATGAGTTCCAAAAGGGGTAGATGGGAGATTTAGGAGGACTAACAGCAGCTCTTCTGGCCAGGGTATCTGGAGGGTTTCCATGGACTTTGCTAATTGAGGCTTAGTAATGCCATTAGGACATTCAACTAGCCCAGAGGATTGAGGATGATAAGCACAGTGAAAGTGCAGCAAAATCAGCCAGAGAGCACAGGCTCCTGTTGAAGTATTCAATCTGTGAAGTGAGTTCCCTGCTCAATATGAAGTTCAAGGGATAGTCTTTTCTAACAGAATTTTAGCCACAGAAGAAGCAGTAGCCTGTCTACAAAGGCAAGCTTTAGTCCAGTAAGAAAATATATAGACCATGACCAACACATATTTACATCCATGAGATGGGAGGAGTTATATAAAATCCACTTGCCAAAGTTTGAACGGTCCATTGGGCAATTTAAAGTGTCCAGGAGCTGTGTGAACAGGTTTCTCTGAATCATATTTTGGCCAGGTAGGGCAAGTGAAATAGGCACTTTTTGCAGCTTTATTAATATTTCCCCACCAGTATTGGTGCATAAAGGTTACCATTTTATCTGAAGACGAATGGTTCAAGGCATGTACAGTGGTTACTAAGAGGAATTTTAGAGTCTCTGGTAGAACTATGTTCTTATATGGCGCAAACCAGAGCTTCCTCTTTTTGTCAAACCAGCAATTGTTGAACTTCAAATCTTGTTTTTCCTTTTCTGAGGCCAATTGTTGGCCTTCTCTAGCCAGTTTTTCCAAGCTATCATTAGGAGAAGCATCCCTGTGGACCACGACAGAGGTTTGACTACTATTTGCTCCTTTAAGAGCAGCAGTCTTTGCAGAAGTGTCAGGAAGGTGATTGCCTCTAACATCCAGAGAGTCAAGTTTAGAATGCCCTAAAATCATAACAATAGCTAAAGTAGCAGGTGAGAGGACCACATGCAATAGTTCCTGAACATAAGGACTGTTTTTGATTTTATCTCCACTGGAGGTAAGGAACCCATGTTGCTTTCACAACATCCCAAAGTCATGGGCTGCTCCAGAAGCGTACCTCTGACCAGTATAAACGTGGCGGGCTTGCCCTTGGTTGGGGTACAGGCTTGTGTAAGTGCACACAATTCACCTTGTTGGGCCATAGTAACCAAGGGCAAAGGTGTCACTTCAATTACATCAAAAGGCATTGATACTGCATATCCAGCACAATATTTACCAATGTCATCCTTTAAATAAGACCCATCAGTAAACTGTGAGACACTGGTGTTCATCAGAGGAGTTTCTTGTAGGTAGTCACAACGGGTCAGGAAGTGGTCTGTCGGTGTTAAGCAGTCATGAAGAACTTCATTGGTAGCAGAGGGGAGAAAGGTGGCAGGGTTAAGGTTATTGCAGTGAGAAAGAGTTATTTGAGGAGCAGTCAGAGGATCTCATCAGAGGTGAGACGGCTGGCTGAACGACATGGTGTGTGGTGAGAATTTAGGAGGGCTTCCACTGCATGGGGTCCAAAAATGGTTAAAGGGGATCCCACACCTGTTTCCTTGATGGCTTTAACCAAAAAAGTGGAGGCGGGTATGGCTCTAAGGTAGGGAGGGTCTCCTTGCACTACAGGGTCCAGTTGCTGGCTATAGTACGCTATGGGTTGACAGTGGTCCTCAAGTTTCTGAGTGAGTACCCCAAGGGCACTCCCTTCCTTCTCATACACAAAAAGGAAAAAGGGAAGCTGGTCGTTTGGATGCCCAAGGGCAGAGGGGTTTATTAAGCCCTTCTTTAAAGTTTTAAAGGCTATGTTGTCCTGTTCTCCCCGCAAGATCAGGTCAGGGCTATTGTCTTTTAGTAACACATACAAGGATTTGGCCATAAGAGAAAAATTTGGAATTCAATTTCAGCAGTAGCCAGCCAGCCTGAGAAAACCTCATAGCTGACACTTAGTTTGGGGTTTTGGGAAGCTCAGGACACCAGGAGGCCTGTCTGGATCTGGATGTAGCCTTTGTTCAGATAATAAGTGCCCCAAATACCAAACTTGGGTTTGGACAAACTGAAGTTTCTCCTTGGTGACCTTGTGTCCCTTTAGAACTATAAATCTAAGTGGATGCTGTCTCCCTGTGAGGAGGCCTGAGACAGGGAACAAAGAAGCCAATCGTCTCCACACTGCAGCAAAGCAGAACCTCTAGGAGACTGTACATCATCCTGATCAGCGTTCAAGACCTGTGAAAAGTAAGGACTTTCAGTAAAGCCCTGAGGCATCACTGTCTGTGTGGATTTTTTTTCCTTCCCCAGTGAAAATGAAGAGGAACTGGCTGTCCTCATCACCTGTGACACTGAAGAACATGCTGCACAGGTCAATCACAGTAAAGAATTTACTTTCAGTTGGGATACACGCCAGCAGCACATGAGGGTTAGGAACAACTGGGTGCTGAGGGATGACAATGTTATTTATCGCTTGGAGGTCCTGGATGAATCTTCATCCTTGGTCATTGGGTTTTCTTTTTATCTCTTTTTTTGCTGAGGAAGATTAGCCCTGAGCTAACATCTGTGCCAATCTTTCTCTATTTTGTGTGTGAGTCACTGCCGCAGCGTGGCTGACAAATGGTGTAGGTCCACGCCTGGGATGTGAACCTGCAAACCCGGGCCACCAAAGCAAAGAGTGCCAAACTTAACCACTAGGCCACAGGGCCGGCCTGATCATTGGGTTTTCTTACAGGTAAAATGAGAGTATTACAGGAACTAGTACAGGGAATAATGAGGCCTTGGGCCTTATAATCTTCTATTACTGGCCAATACCCTGGAGGGTTTTTTTATTTATAGGGCATTGATAAATTTGAGGGAAATGTTTTGAAGGACCTATTTGAATTTTGGTAGATGTGCTGTGGATTCTGCCAATGTCGGTTGCATACTGTGCCCATAAGGAGGGTGGCAGCTGATCAAATAGGGACAAATAGCTAACGTTCTTAAAATAGCTTTAATGTCATCAGTGATGGAGCAAATAAAAGATGTTGAAGGGTCTTTTAATTCACCTAGTTGACCATTTTGGTTGCTACTATTGCTGCTGCTATGAAATTCTAGAATCATTTCCCCCTTTCTCTGGGAAATCTTGTCTTAATAGAGGAATGAGAGGGGAGAAACTCAGGGGAAGAGTGAGTGTCCACCAGAGGCCTAAACAGAAAGGAATAGGTGTAGAGACAGGGGCCTGTTGGGGTTTGTCTGAGACTCCACTGTCTGAGCTGTTTCAGTACTCCGAGGAGGGGGCTAGTTAATAACAGTGGGGTTGAGCACTGAGAGCATAGCACTGGTATCAGTAAGTCCAGGGAAAGATTCATCCTCAATCTGGAGAGTGATTTCCCAGAGCTGATTAAGGGAAAGGGTTGGGAAAAGCCCCTGTTGTTCTGCGGAACCCCATCACTGGGGACTGGAAGGACATTGGAAGGACCGGCTGGGGGAATGAGACCCCTGGAGTTTTTTAGCTTGCAGCACTCACTTTTACAATACCCTGGCTTTTTACAGAAATGACAGAGACTGGGAAGTTTCTGGTTCCATCCAGAGGCCTCCATTTGTTGGAGTTGAAAATTTAGGATTTTTGTGGTCTTTTTTCTAGGTAAATCCTCTAGAGAGTGAGTGAGCTAATTTGCCAAACTGACCAAATCTGGAGTGGACATGATCTCCCCTTCCATCCAGCTGCTCTTCACTAAGAGGGAAAGATCCTGGTTCAGCCCATTAAACATAAAATTAAAAGCTACCCGAGTGGATTTAGCTTTCATGGGAGGGCAGAGTTATCTTTGGAAGTGAGCTGAAGTCAATTAAAATAGTTATGAACAGGTTCATCAGGCTTTTGCACACAAGCCTGAATTTTGTTCCAAAAACAGGCTTGGGAAAGGCTACTGGGATGGCTTGGTGGAGTTTTCCAGCAAGTGTTCTAGATTCTTGCCAAAAGTTAGCATTTTTTTTCTAAATCCTTTTCAAGATGTTCCCATCAGGCAAGTTTCATCCAATGCTGGGCCTGGCCTTCCCCATCAAGCATGTGAACTAGCTTCTATAAGTCTGAAAACCCCAGCCAGTAGGTCTGAATATATTAAACTCATCAGCTAATCTATGGGAGTCCTCAGTTGCCTTTGGAAAATCCTTATCAATGGCTCACAATTCAGCTTTAGTCCATTGAACATAAGAGATCTGAGATTTGTTTGGATCCTCAGAGGGTTTAATTTAAAAAGACCAGGTTCTAACAGGTTCAAAAGAAGGAGGGGCGAGGGTGGGTTCAGAGGAGAAAGGACGTTTGACAAGAGGATTAGAGTGGGGAGGGGGAGGGTACAGAGAAGGTGGGGATGGTGCAGAAGGGAAAGAGGAAGATGGCGTTGGGGGCGGAGCCTGAGGACAAGACGGCTGCCGGGGTGGAGTCTGAGATAAATGAGTCAGGAAAGACAAGCAAGATGGCAGCTGAGACAGAGAGGAAGTAGAGGGAACATGAAGCTTCAGAAGCCATTTTGTTCTCCCTGTTTTTTCATTGTTTTGGTTAATTTAGACATAGTATCTTGCAGTGAGGCAATTTTAGAGTTTTGTGCTAGTTTAGAAGCCTCTAGGTACCAATTAAAATAAACGTACCATTTGTTTTACTTAATTTTAGAGCCATGGTCTTCTAATTTGGTTTTAAGTAAAGCTAGTTTGGGGAGATGGAAAGTTGCCCATAATGGCCATTGCAATTCCAGACTACTTTTGGTCTCTTTGGCTCACTTAGTTAAAAATACGCATGTGGGGGGCCCAAAGTTCTCAAACATAAACCCAGCCAGGGTCCCGGAAGGAAAGTTTCCCTTAGAACATTTAGATGACTGGAATCCTACTTCTGAAATTTACTCTGAAAACCCAAGAAAGTTGCTAGAGTCCTAGCCCTGATAACCAATGGAATCTAAAAACAAAACAAAGTTGCCAGATTCCCAGCCTGATTCCCAAAGGAATCTGAAAACCAAAGAAAAACTCCTGGATTCTCAGCAAGCCCAACCCCCAAAAGGAACTGTGCTACTTTTAGAAAATAACTGAGTGTAAGTGAGCATAAGTGAGGCCATCTTGTTACACCAAATGGTCCCAGCCCATCCTCTGTGTGACTACTCACTGCTCTGCACATACTCTAAAAAATTCACACGCTCTCCTGATTTATGGCCTCCACTTACGTATGTACTCCCTGATAGCTTGATAAATTAAAAACTTTGTTCTGTGAGTTTCTCTCCAGGAACAGGCTGACCACAGGTGGGAAACACATCTACAAGGTATCCATCACAGCTGACAGAAGAATGAACAATGTGATGCCCGGAGCCCATCATGCCTGGAGACCAACATCCCTGGGCCCTCTCCTCACTGCCCATTTTCCCTATATAACTGCATCAAGATTCTGTAATCTTTGAAGATGGTTTTTGGAGATTTTAGTCTGCCATCTTCCTGGTTATGCTGGCTAATCAAATTAAAACTTCCTTTCTCTATCCCTAACTCATTGTGATTAATTGGCTCTGATCCTGGCGAGCACAGTGAGCCCACTGCTCAGTAACAAATTCTGGGGACCCAGATGGGACCATAGCCTCTGCCCATGGCTAGTCAACTTGGAGGAAGCTGTTTGGGGATTTTCCCTGCAGCTTCCCAGCTTCCCAGCTTCCCTGGCTTTTTCTACCCAGAAAATTCCCCTTGTGGCTTCTTCACTTGCTGATTGCCTCCAACGCTTTAGTGATTGGGAAACAAAGGACTATATCATATGCTAATAAGCTTGCGTCTGCGGCTAGGTGAGTCATCCAGAGTACACCTCCCCGGTACTATATTCCTTTTTCCTTGTCTGGGGGCTTTGGGTAGGCCAAAGTCCATCTGGTTTAGGTGCCAAGGTTTAGGGATAAAGGAAAGTGCAGACTGCCTAGTATATTATCTGGAAGACTAGTCTCTGGTTTTTCTGTGGTGTACATACCTGTATAGTCTGTTCTCCTGAGTGTGTATATGTTCCACTAGTCTGTGTGCCAGTTTTTCTTTGTGTCAGAATCCCACAGCGTACTCCCAGTGTCTGTTACATCATCTGTGGGACCATGAAGTTTGTGACCTTCTCTGTCAAGTGTCAAGCTGGAATTGTATGACTCAATGCAGGCACTGCTGTTTGCGTGTTAACCCTTGGGAGGACGCCGTGAGAGCACAGCCCGACCATCTTTTCCCCCTCTTTGTCTGTCTGGTCTGGCACCTTCTTTGCTGTCATTGTGTGGAAGTTAGGTTTGGGCTTAAAGTAAGTTGGACTTGGACTTCCTGCAAAATAGAAACTTTCTGCCAGGCACCAGACCTCCTACACCGGCATTGGGAAATTAGATCTTCCCTCTTGCCTCTTTGGCTTGTTTAGCACTGGTGTGAGAACTGTACACTTGGGCGGAGTGGGATTTGGATAAGTCCCAAAGTTATCTCGATGCCTGGAGTCAAGCCCTGCACCCTCTCCCCGGTCCATTAATTGTCAGACACAAACTTTATCGCCATGGGCACCATGGCTGTTACAGTATGTGTCCATCCATTCCAAAAAAAGGGCCACTAGGATGTATGCTGGCCAATTGGGCTGATTTCAATCATGAGCCTATGGCAAAGAAAAGGATGATCTTTTACTGTAATGTAGCCTGGCCCCAGTATACACTGGGCTCAGGAGAAAAGTGGTCCCCAAACAGGTCACTCGATTATGATATGACATTGCAGCTAGAATCGTCCTACAAGAAGGAAGGAAAGGAAAATAAAATTCCCCGTGTTTAAGCCTTTATGCTGCGGTATCTAGATCAGGGAGGGAGGACAATGGACTGAGGAGTCCCTCCTCCTCTACCTCCCTTTTTTCCCAGGCCCACTGCTGGTCCAGGGGAAAATGCCTGAAGGACTGCCAGGCCTAAGAGAGAAGGGACTCTCTCCTTCTCGGACCCGGCAAGGGACATAATTCTGTCAGGGGGCCCTTCCCGGAGCAGGGCAATTTCCACTGCGACAATATCCCAGAAGCATAAATGGACAAGGGCAACTTGCTGGCTTCATTTGGATGCACTGTCCTTTCTCCACCTCATATCTTTTTAATTGGAAAAATTTTATATGCCTGAATGCCCTGTTCTCCTCCTGGGATGAAACTTTCTATGTAAACTGAATGCTCAAGTGACTTTTGCTCCAGGCCAGCTAGAGGTGCAAGTGCTGCTGGAACAAATCTTACAGTTCCAGATGGCCCTGTGGGGTGTTCAAACACCACCGCTGGACCCACTGCCACCGGAGATTCTCAAGGAGGTAAGACTGAACGTGTGGGTAGACAGGAAGCCTAGGAAAGCAAGGAATGTCCAGTGAATACGTATACCCTTGAAAACCCAAAAGATAAAGCCACCCTGAAACAATATCTACTAAAACAGGAGGCTCAGAAGGGCATTCAGCCAGTGCTGCAGAAATTCATGGTGGCAGAATTAATCAGACCTGGCCAGTCGCCATATAATACTCCTATTCTCCCGGTCAAAAAAAAAACCCAATTCAGAGGAATACTGGTTTGTTCAGGACCTTCCTGCCATGAATGAGGTGGTTCAGGACCTGCACCCCTGCGGTGCCCAGCCCTTACACCTTGCTCACCAACATTCCTGGTGAATACGGCTGTTTTTCAGTTTTGGACTTAGAGGATGCATTCTTCTGCATATCGCTCGCTGAAGAATCACAGCAACTCTTTGCCTTTACTCAGGCCACTCAACAATATTGTTGGACAGTGCTCCCCCAGGGCTTCAAAAACGCCCCTATGCTATTTGAGGAGGCCCTAGCTAAAGACTTGAGCCACTTACAATTACAGGAAGGATCGCTGTTACAGTATGTGGATGACTCGCTGATGGTGAGCCCCACTTATGAGCAGTGTCTGGCCAACACAATAAAGACCTTAAATCATTTGGCGCCACTTGGGTAAAGGTCTCACAAAAGAAAGCACAGAGCTGCAAACAAAAAGTTACATACTTAGGGTTTACATTATCAAAAGGCCAGAGGGAACTGCTGCCAGAATAACAAAAGGGCTAGAGCACACCTGAGCCCTGCCATCACCCTGCAACAGCTACAAGGGTTCTTGGACATGGCTGGTTTCTGTCGGATCTGGATTCCTAACTGTGGTCTCATAGTAAAACCCCACTATGAGGCTCTAACAAGGCTAGACCGGGAGCCACCAGAATGGACAAAGGAGTGTCAGCTAGCCTTTGACACCATTAAGACAAAGTTAACTTCAGCCAATCAGCCTTGGGGCTTCCTAATGTGGCCAAGCCCTTCAGCCTATATGAAAGGCAGGGAATAAGCTTGGGGGTTTTAACTCAAAAACTGGGCATGACCCCCAAGCCAGTGGCTTATTTTTCCAAACAATTGGATCAGACTGTCAAAGAGCTGGGCCTCCTGCCTCAGGGCAATAGCTGCTGCCTGTGACATCCTGCAGGAAGCTGAAAAATTCACCCTGGGCCAACCCAGCACGGTATATGTACCACATCAAGTACTAACATTATTGGAACAAAAAGGGGGATACTGGCTCACTTCAGGATGGATGGACAAATACCAGGCCATCCTTTTGGACAAACCAAAGGTATGGATGCAAATATCATCCTCCCTAAACCCAGCGACCTTGCTCCCTAATAAGACATCAGAAGCCTTAGAACATGATGGCTTACAATTATGGAGACAGTGTGTTCTAGCCAACCTGATTTGTGGGACTGTCCACTGGAAGAACCAGACTTGGAACTCTCACAGATGGGAACAGCTTCATGGATCAAGGTAAGATGCGTGGGGTACACAGTCATAACTTTAAAAGAGACTTTAGAGGCTAAAGGCCTACCCACAGGGACATTGGCTCAAAAGGCAAAAATCATTGCCTTCACTCGGGCTCTATGTCTAACTCGAGGGAAAAGAGTAAATATATACACAGATTCCCCTTATGCCTTTGCTGTAGTTCATGCTAATGGGACAATCTGGAAGGAAAGGGGACTCTTAAGAGCAGGAGAAAAGGAAATCAGACATGGCCCTAAAATCTTAAAACTGCTTGGTGCTATTAATGAGCCTGCCCAGGTAACTATCATTGCATTGCCTTGGCCACCAGAGGGAGAATTCAGTGGGTCCAGAAGTACATCATAGGGCCCCACCTACAAAAGACTATACAACAGGTGACCAAAATTACATAATATGTGCAAAGAACAACTCCAAGACTACTTCTGGTCCCCCACATATGGGCACCCAACATAAAGAAAATTGGCCTACTGAAGACAGACAAATAGACTTTACCCAGATGCTCCAGGCAACTGAGAATTTCAGGTTTTTGTTAGTGTTTGTGGACACCCTCACCGGGTGGGTAGAAGCCTTTCCCACTTGGACTGAGAAAGCATCAGATGTCACTCACATGTTGCTAAAAAAAATCATCCCTAGGTTTGGTCTGCCTCATACCTTACAGAGTGATAACAGACCAGCTTTTGTCTCCCAAATAACCCAACAAGTGTCCAGGAGCTTAGACATCTGATGAATACTGTATTCAGCTTGGAGACATCAATCAACTGGAAAGATGGAAAAAAAAAATGAATCACACCTTAAAGAAAACCATTGCCAAAATCTGTCAGGAAACACAACTAACTTGGGATAAGACACTGCCTCTTGCCCTGCTACGGGTTAGAGTATCTCCCCGAAGTGGACTTAAATTGAGTCCTTTTGAAATTCTACATGGGAGACTCTTTCAGGCATCATACCCCGAGACTGAATCTCTGGACATTTTAAGGAATGTTATGATTACTAATCATGTTAAATCATTAAGCTCTGTATTAACTTCTGTCCGTGAGTTTGTTTCTCATAGGTCTGCATATCCATCTGACGTCCCTCCACATGCCTTCTGACCTGGTGATCATGTTTTGCTGAAAACTTGGAGAGACCAGGGACCCGAAAACCAGTTGTCACCCAAATGGACGGGCCCCCTTAAGATTCTTCTCACCACTCATTCATCTGTAAAACTTGCAGGTGTGAAACCCTGGATACATCACTCCTGGATGAAGGCAGCCCCAAAATCACAGGAAAGTATCCCACCTGTATCAAGGGGAAAGTGGGTGGCAGAACCCCCTGGAGAGCTAAAATATGTCTTTAAAGAAAACTTTAATTTCTTCTATCTAGCCCTTCTTCTCATAGTTCTATTTATTGGGGTCAAAAGAAAAGTAGCTCTTTTCCATGCTATGGTCCCCCTGCGACATCCTGATTCAATACGAAGTAGCTAGAGGAAGTATGACACCCTGTCTCCCCCTTTTGGGGGGAGATTATGGGTTGCTACTGATGGGGGGAAAATTGTAAGTGAGCATAAGTGAGGCCATCTTGTTAAACCCAATGGCCCCAGCCTCTCTTCTGTGTGACTACTCACTGCTCTGCACATACTCTAAAAATTTACATGCTCTCCTGATTTATGGCCTCCACTTATGCATGTACTCCCCAATAGTTTGATAAATTAAAAACTTTGTTCTATGAGTTTCTTTCTAGGAACAGGCTGACTACAGGCTGGAAACACACCTGCAAGGTATCCATCACAGCTGACAGAAGAATGGAACAAGGTGATGCCTGGAGCCCATCATGCCTGGAGACCAACATCCCTGGACCCCCCTCCTTACTGCCCATTTTCCCTATATAACTGCCTCAAGATTCTGTAATCCTTGAAGATGGTTTTTTGAGACATTTGTCTACCATCTTCCTGGTTATGCCGGCTAATCAAATTAAAACTTCCTTCTCAATCCCTAACTTGTTGTGATTAATTGACTCTGATCATGGTGAGCAGAGTGAGCCCATTGCTCGGTAACTTGAGTACTCACCAAGGATGAAATCTTGAACCCAAGGATAGAGCCTTCATCCGAGAAGACAAAGTCCCTCCCCAAGAGGACAAATCCTCTCCTGATCCCAAATAAATTTAGAGAGCTCAAAAGGCAAGGAGAGTGAAGCTTGGAATCCGAGAGGAGACTTACCAAACTGAAAGCAGGCAGCAACTCACAGAAGTGATGAGCACAAGAGGCTTGGTGCGAGTACCTCACTTGATTCCAGGGGTCACTGTTTCTCAGGGGTTACCTCCTTTGGATCCCACTTTCGTAACACTTAAAAAGCAAGTTCCACTTAAAAAGCAAGTTCACCAGTGATTTTTATCCTCAAAACGAGTTTATTTGGTGATAGCCAAAAGAATTGCCATTTGGGATGTGCAAATGCTATGGGAAACCATAGGCAAATCCAACCAACAAAGAAGGGGAGCTGCATTTATAGACAAAAAGGGGGAGAAGGGATGGGCTGTTCTAAAGGAAAGTCCATTGGCAGAAAGTAACAGTTCAGTGTGGCAACACTTCTCATTGGCTGAGCTGTGGCATTTCTCATTGGCTGAGCTGTGGCATTTCTCATTGGCTGGGCTGCAGTGCAGTGTTTCTCATTGGCTGAGCTACAGCCTTTCTCATTGGCTGGGCTGTTGCCAGGGGGGAAGAGAAATCTTCCTTCGGTAGTAAAATTGTTGTACTTCCTCTCAGAGATGCAAGTTCCTCTCTTCCTGTTCGGAGTAATTGATGACTTATGATAGGGCATGAAAGCTGCCTTTACAGGTCTTCCTGACTCCAATTTAGTTAAGGTTTCTTTTATTAATTTCCACAGTATTTACCCTAATGAGTTGAAAACTTATGTCCACACAAAAACCTGCACATGGGTGTTTATAGCAGCATTCTTCATAATTGCCTAAACTTGGAAGCAACCAAAATGTCCTCCAGTAGGTGAATGGATAATTAAACTATGGTACATCCAGACAACTGAATATTATTCAGTACTAAAAAGAGAAGTGAGCTATCAAGGCATGAAAAGACATGGAGGAACCTTAAATGCATATTGGTAAGTGAAAGAAGCCCATCTGAAAAGACTACACACTGCATGATTCCACCTGTATGACATTCTGGAAATGGCAAAACTATAGAGACAGTAAAAAGATCCATAGTTGCCGAGGGGTTGGGCAGGCAGCTGGATAGGCAGAGCAGAGAGGATTTCTAGTGCAGTAAAAATACTCTGTATGATACTGTAATGATGGGTACATGCCATTATACGTTTGTTCAAACCCATAGAATGGAAAATACCAAGAGTGAACCCTGAAATAAACCATGGACTTTGGCTGATGATGATGTGTCAATGTAGGTTCATCACTTGTAACAAATGTACTCTCTGGTGGAGTATGTTGATAATAGCGGAAGCTATGCCTATGTGCGAGAGAAGGATATATGGGAACTCTCTGTACCTTCCTCTCAATTTTGCTGTGAATCTAAAATTACTCTAAAAAAATAAAGATTTTTTGTGTTAAAAAAAGAACAAAATAAACCCACAAAAAACTAATGGGGTCATGTAAAATACACACACACACACACACACACACACACACTCCACACAGGATTTGGCAGGTAGGAGGACCCACTGTCAAATTTGGGACAATTTGTCTGCCAAAAAGAATAATGATAGTAATAGATTATAACCTCCTCCCCCCAAAATATCCATGAGTCCACCATGATACAGAGAGAGAGAGAAAGAGAGAGAATGCTTCCTTATGAGAGAATGCCAGCTGCTAAATACAGATGAAATGATAGAATTTTAAAACAACCATTTTTTCATGGCCAATATAATATCTGGTTCCGGCGAGGATCACTAATGGGTGCTAAACTTCTAGATGAAAGGTTATTGGGGAATAAGCTATTCACACAGTCTACGGTTGAGACAAAAGATACGTAACAACCAAATGCAATGTGGGACCCTCGATTAGATCCTAGATTGGGAAGAAAGAAAAAGCTGTAGGAGATGCTTGGGGGGCCATTGGAGAAATGTCAATACAGACAGCATATGGGTGATATTATTGAGTTGATGTTCATTTTCATGGGTGTGACGATGGTACTGGGAATACTTTAGGAGATGAATGATAAGGCAACTGGGCTGAAGTACCTCAATGTCTGCAGCTGATGTTCTCAGATGTCTTAGACAATGATTGGTGAATCTAGCTGAGGATGTTTGGGTGCTCATCATACTATTCTCACAATGTTTTTGTAGGTTTTAAATTTTTTCAAAAAAATTTCAGGAGACAAAAACTTTCTACTTCCTCAAATCAATGAACCCCATCACTCGCTAATTAACCTTTTATAACCATGTGTGGGTTTTCTCCTTAACAAAGAGCCTCTGCCTCTGGGTTCACAACCATCAGGTGTAAACAAGTAGAGGAAGGTTAATACTGACCAGAGAACCCCGGATGCTGACCGAGGCCTGGTCATCATTTGCGCTTCACTCTTGAACCAATTAGACCCAGGTCAAGTTTCCTTTGCCAAAAGCATGCTTACGTCGGGTCTTCTCCTCAGTGACTCAGACACTGGATGTTACGAGCAGCACTTGTAAGTTATAACTCCAGCCATAAAAATATTGAATGAAGGATAGTAACCTATTCAGGAAATATCAAAGTAGGGATTAATATTATTTTAGTAGGGCATATACACACACTCTTTCTCTGAGATAACATTTATTCAAGGATCCTTTTTAGAAACTCCAAATGTGAACCCAAGTGACTGTTATCATCTGACTTTTACTGAGCAGGGAACTGAGATGAGCAAGGTTCTTCAGTTACCTACAGAGGCAAGCCACACAGTGGGGGACAGAGCCCCAGGCTGCAGAGTCCCAAGTCCAAGGTCCTCTCCAGTTTGTGCCTCCTGCTTTCATTCATCAAGTCTTGTGGTTTGCGCAGTTGGGACTTATTAACCACGGGACTATCTTATCTTTTGATATCTTGTGGAGAGTGTTGATTTTTATGGAGCTGATACTATATGGGGTTTTCATTTCTTTGATTTCCCATTCCTAAGGTTATCTCAAGATTAGAATCACATAACGCAGTCTCCCAAGGAGATTGCTTCGAGCCCCAAAGGGGCTAAAGGACTTGTTCAAGTGACCTAGGACAAGACTGTGCAGACCATAATTGAAAGGGTAACCTTGGTGAATCACCTCTCAAGTCATTTCTCAGATTATAACTTTCGTAAACTAGAGCCAAACGTTTTGTCTTGTATTGTCAGACAAGAACACATTGCTAAAACCCTACCTTCTCCATTGTTGTTCTTTTGTTTAATCTCATACCGTTTTCTAATAAAAATTTATCCACACCCTATTTTATACTGTTTTGTATCTTATCTGAGTATATTATAAAAGTAGATGAAGTGTGAAAGAGAAAAGGAGAGAGCTAAGATTATTTAAAACAAAATGAAGTTGTATAGACACTAGATCAGGCCAAAATAATTCAGTTGTCAAAGAATTTAGTTAATTGTTCATTGGCTTGGAATGACTAAGTCAATGTCACTTTATTGCTGTCAACTCTTTGAAATATAATGACAGAGAGCAATTAGGGGTGCTAACAGGCATTCTGTCACCAACACTTATACGATTTATCTGCCCTCTTCTGTCCTCTAGGAAAGGACAGTCTGTTCTATCAAGAGCAATATCCATATCCCCGTCTCACTACCCAGCGAGGCCTGATAGACCCTCACTCCAAGAAGTTCCCTACCCAATAACCACCATTTCACCACTGAGGGCTTGATGCCCTAGTCCTACACACCTAGCAAAACCACCCACTCTCTCTAACACGTACCATTGTATCCTTCATAACCCATGTCACCAGCTCCACTCCCTCCTCATCGTGGCCATCAGCATGCCAACATGTTCTAGAATTTCCTTCTGTCAGAGGGAAAATCCGTTCCTGAGCATGCAGACAGCTCCCATTTGCTACCCACCCATCCTCTGAAGAACCTCCTTGGGTTCTTCTTTCTATGCCCAATTGTATTAGTAAGGTTTCTCCAGAGGAACAGAACCACACACTGTGTGTGTGTGTGTGTGTATTTATAAATTTTATACATATATTTATATATTCTACATATATATAAAAGAGATATATTATAGGGCCGGCCCCATGGCGTGGCGGTTAAGTGCACGCGCTCCGCTGCTGGCGGCACGGGTTCAGATCCCGGGCATGCAACGACGCACCACTTGTCCGGCCATGCTGAGGCTGCGTCCCACATACAGCAACTAGAAGGATGTGCATACAACTATCTACTGGGGCTCTGGGGGAAAAAAATAAAATTAAAAAATTTAAAAAAAAAGAGATATATTATAAGGAATTGACTCACACAATTATGGAAATTGAGGAGTTCCAAGATCTGCAGGATGAGTCAGCAAGCTGGAGACTCAAGAGAGCCAACGGTGTAGGGCCAATCTGCAGGCTGGCAGGCTCAACATCCAGGAAGAGCCAATGTTTCAGTTTGAGTCTGAGCGCAGGAAAAAGCCAATGTCCTTGTTCAAAGGCAGTCAGGCAGGAGGAATTCCACCTTACTTAGGAGAGGGTCAGCCTGTTTATTCTGTTCAGGCCTTCAACTGATTGAATGAGGCCCACCCACATTACGGAGGCCAATCTTCTTCATTCAGTCTACTGATTTACATGCCAATTTCATTCAAAAACACCCTACAGAAACACCCAGGATAATGTTTGACCAAATATCTGAGCATCCCATGGCCCAGTCAAATTGACACATAAAATGAACCATCTCACCAATGTTTAAATTTTAGGGGTTTGGGGCTTTCTATAGGATCTCTCCCCTCTCTGCACTCTCTTCTTAGGTATTTCCATCAGATTCTGTGGACATAATCTACCCAGCTTGGACATCTAGTCCAGCACTACCCAAGAGAAACATAATGTGAGTCACAAATGCAAGCCATATATATAACTTTAATTTTCAACTAGTTACATTGAAAAAAAGTAAAAAGTGAAAGTTGTTTTAATAATATATCTTATTTAACCCAGTATATCCAAAATATTACTATTTCAACATGAATCAATATAAAAAATATTAATGAGTCTGCCAGTTATCAATTTATTCTCTCTCAGCCCTAAACTCACCATGTGTTACCCGCTCTGTGATAATGGAGATTTAAGAATTTCTTCTCTGCAGCCAGCACAATGCCAACCTTTTTTCAGTGGAGGGCAGTGCAGGAGGGGGACTGGTTTCCCGGTTCTGGTGTGCTGCATTTTTTGTTTCCTTCTTGCTCCTGCAGGGCTACTATTGGGGATATGTGCCAGTGGACATGCAGGGGCAGTCTGGTCCAGCCTCACGCCAACAGTGTGCAGTCCCTCAGCAAGCTCACAGCCCCGACCAGCCTAGTGACCATCTCATTGTACCTCCCGAAGCAGACACTGTCCACCCCAGCTCTCATGCCACCTTGCCGGCAAGCAGATGCCCCAACTGCCTCTGCACACCTGCCCAGCAGCCTCAGGTGGCCTGCACCATGGGTAGTGTTTCCCATGGTGCTTCTGACACAGACACTGCACTCTAGGCTCTGCATGACCCTTCCAGAGAGTCAGTTCCT